ATTTTACTTTTATTTTTAAATAACTTAAAAAGCACCAGGATTCCTTATGAATTCTTATTTATTTTTTTAATGTATATTTTTTGAATTTTACTTTCTACAAAAACATCTTAATTATCTTTATACCCCCTCCCCCATCTGCACCCCCCATAACCCCCCCTTAACTGCATGTGGGGGAGGGGCTAAGGATATATAAACTGAGAATGCCAGGAGACTTAATCAGAAATTTATTTCTTGTGGTTCAAGAAACTGCATAGTTCCAGACCAAGGTGCCTGCAGTGTAGAACTAAAGACAGATGCTGTGGTGGTTTGGATGAGAACTGCCCCTCACAAGCTTCAAGCTTCATGTATGTGAGCACTTGGTGGTGCTCTTGGAGGAGGTTATGGAACTTTTAGGTCGCAGAGCCTCGGGAGGAAGTATGTCCCTGGGGTGGGCTTTGAGAGTTTAGAGCCTCATCCCACTTTCAGTTTGCTTTCTCCCTCCTGTGCATGGAGAGAGATCTGATCAGCTCCTGCCCGTGACTGCTATGCTTCCCCACAGCGTGGAAACATAAGCCAAAGTAAACTTCTGTAAGCCCCTTTGTTATGGTGTTTAATCACACCAACAGAAAAATCACTAACACAGATGCCACCTCATTGAGTGCTCACATGTCCCTTCCTTGTGAGTGTTAGAGAGAGAGAGAGAGAGAGAGAGAGAGAGAGAGAGAGAGAGAGTTTGTGTGTAGAGACAGAGATGAGAGACAGGAAGAAGGAGGGAGGGAGAGAGAGAGAAACTAGGTCTTGGGTACTTCTTAGGAAGACACTTAATGCCAGTGAAATGAAGCTGCACCCCCATGATGTTATGGCTTCCTAGTTAACTCTCAGGAGCCCCACCTCTAAATATCAGGCATATTTATCAGGTGTTAGCATTTCAGCATCTGAATTTGGAGAGATGGAACCATTCAGACCATAGTATGGAACTCTAGAGAGCAGTAGAAAAAGGATAGCATTCATTCTTGACTTGCACAGTGTAGCTTTTGCTCTTGTGCCTCCTACCTGGTGCTAAGGCTGCTTCTGTCGATATTGTGCGTTGTACTTATTTTGGAGGTTTTTCAGTCTGGGCATAATGAGGACTACTGATCAGGAAGCGGAAGCAGCAATGAATGTTTGCCTGTCCATACCTGGGTCTAGATGTGTGGCTAGGTGCACATGGTTGTAAATTCTGGACACACGCAGGTATGTGTGAATATATGCATACATTTGTTTGCTCTAAGAAACTAACAGGGCAGGTATGGAAGTACACAAATCCCAGGGTCTTTAGTTTCCAACCTTGAGCTCCAAGAGGCCCTGGGTGCAGTTTAGTAGAAATTTAGGTCTAAAGACC